CCCGCCCGGCCCCCCGGCTGCCTGGGGTGGGGGCGTGCGCGGGGGTTCGGGCGAGCCCTTCTTCGCTGAGCACCTTCTCTGGCCGGGCGGCGGGACAAGAAAGGCCAGGCCTCTGCCCCTGAGGGGAACTAAATGCGGAGGACTGGCATCACATTCATGGAGTCAGTATTTATTCTACTTAGGGGACACTCATGTATACCAAAAAGAGGGAGCCAGCGGGTGGCCTGGTGGTTCCGGTGGCCGGGTCCCACATGGCCCATAGTGTGGTCAGAGTCCTGGACCTGGTGATTTGAAAAATATGCCAAGTGCAGGGACCAACAGTTAGCGTAATGGCTATGTCGCTGAACTCCCATGTAGTTGAGCGCTGTTCGAGTCCGGGACCCAGGGGCTTAAACTCATGCCGGGTGCACGTGTGTGTGTGCCCAAGATTCCCGGGCGCGCATGTGTGTGTGCCCAAGATCCCGAGAGGAGAATGGAGGAGAAGGGATTGCAGCATGGCCATCCCCCCGAGGGGTGATTTCTCGCTTTCTCTCCATCTCTCTCTCTGTCTTTCTGGTGAGCGCACGCGCCCTATAGCAAAAACCTCACCAAAAACAACAACAACAACAACAAACGTGCCAAGTGTGTGTATTTGCGTGCCAAAAAATCCCCCAAAGAGAAGCAGGTGTGGCCGTGACTATGGAGGGCGGGTGTGCTCTCTCACTCCTCCTAAGCAGCACTGGCACCCTTTCGCAAATTTCAGAAAAGAAAAAGGGGGAGGTCACTCCCGACGTTCCCCGCCCGGCGCGCCGGCTGCCTGGGGTGGGGGCGTGCGCGGGGGTTCGGGCGAGCCCTTCTTCGCTGAGCACCTTCTCTGGCCGGGCGGCGGGACAAGAAAGGCCAGGCCTCTGCCCCTGAGGGGAACTAAATGCGGAGGACTGGCATCACATTCATGGAGTCAGTATTTATTCTACTTAGGGGACACTCATGTATACCAAAAAGAGGGAGCCAGCGGGTGGCCTGGTGGTTCCGGTGGCCGGGTCCCACATGGCCCATAGTGTGGTCAGAGTCCTGGACCTGGTGATTTGAAAAATATGCCAAGTGCAGGGACCAACAGTTAGCGTAATGGCTATGTCGCTGAACTCCCATGTAGTTGAGCGCTGTTCGAGTCCGGGACCCAGGGGCTTAAACTCATGCCGGGTGCACGTGTGTGTGTGCCCAAGATTCCCGGGCGCGCATGTGTGTGTGCCCAAGATCCCGAGAGGAGAATGGAGGAGAAGGGATTGCAGCATGGCCATCCCCCCGAGGGGTGATTTCTCGCTTTCTCTCCATCTCTCTCTCTGTCTTTCTGGTGAGCGCACGCGCCCTATAGCAAAAACCTCACCAAAAACAACAACAACAACAACAAACGTGCCAAGTGTGTGTATTTGCGTGCCAAAAAATCCCCCAAAGAGAAGCAGGTGTGGCCGTGACTATGGAGGGCGGGTGTGCTCTCTCACTCCTCCTAAGCAGCACTGGCACCCTTTCGCAAATTTCAGAAAAGAAAAAGGGGGAGGTCACTCCCGACGTTCCTCAGCACCGCCTGGGCGTCATTCATGGGGCTGCAGAGGAGCACAGAACACACTGGCTGGCCCATGGGTCCGCGGCAGGTAACTGCACAAAGTACCATCTGGAAGGACCTAAATCTGGGTGTGTGCTGGAGGAGGTCAGAGTGGCCCCGGAGGCCCTCTGAGTGGACAGAGGAGGTTGTTATCGTTCTGAGAAACACCGTCACCAATCTGGGCTGGTGTCAGGGATCCCTATGTGGGTGCCCCTTGGGGGAAAGCAAGGAGGGTGGATCTTGAGTCCCTCCATCCCCCTGCAGGAAGAGGAGGCCCATCACGAGGTTCCCATGAACATTGTGCACGTCGCTCAGGCAGGGGAGACCACCGAATTTTAGGGCCCAGTGCAGAATGCAAACACAGGGCCCCTTGTTCGAAAGTCGGGCGTTTTATGTTGGTGCAGTGGAGTTCTGGGCCTTTCGGGGCCCCGAGCACTGACTGTGGGGCCTGCTGGCCCTCGGAGCAGGCTGTCACATCATGCCAGCACCCAACCTCCCCTCCTGGTGAAGCACCCTGGGCCTGGCACTCTCCCCACTCCCAGGCACAGGTGTGACCTGAGCAGTCGGAGAACTCAGTTCTAAGTGGGGACACCCCGGCCCCAACCTGTTACTTCCTCGCTGCATGGTGAGACATGAGGTGTCTTGTGGGGACTGGGAGTGGTACCCCATGACTGAGGGCGACAGTGGGCAGGCGAGGCGTTCTGAGTTGGCTCAGCAACAACTTCCTGAGCTATGGCACCGGCAGCCAAAATCTGGTCCTGCCCTCCCCGGCCCTAGCCCCCTTCACACCGGGAAGGGGACCCCAAGTCTTGGGCACTCCTTCCGGGCCCTGTTTCTTCCCTTCCCCTAGGCTCTCCGTCCTCAGCTCTAGCAGGCCGTGTCTTCCGCTGTCCCCAGCCCACCACTGTCCTCCCACGGCCCCAGCTCCATGCCGATTGACCCTCTTCCGTGCTACATAGCTCGTGGGACTAGGGATCTTGGAGATAGGGCCTGGCATGTGGAGGGCCCTGGGGAAATGCGTGTTGGGGGGGGATCCATTTTGGAGCAAAGGCGCCCATCCCCCGTCAGCCAAAGTCCCCTAGGCGCTCTTTTAAAACTATGATCAAGTATGATCTTCACTGGCCCCTCAAGGCCAGGGAAGGCGGCCTCTGTCCCTTTACTGGGCCTCGGTTTCCCTCTGTGACACACGGAGAGTTTTCGAGGCTGGCTGGGACAGGGCTGGCGGCCCCCGGGCCAGGGGGCTCCTGGCCTACAAGTCCCAGCACCGCCCGGGCCCGTCCCGCCCAGCCCCGGGAGCGCGGCTGCTGAGCACGTGCAGGCGCCGCCAGGCGCAGGGCGGACTCCAGATCGCGCCGCCCGGGGCTGGCGGTCCCGCTGGTGTCTGCCCGCCCGGGAGGGGGCGAGGAGCAGCTTCGCGCCTGAAAAGCGGCTGCCCGTTCGGTTCGTTCGCTGGTACGCCCGGCCCCAGGTCGCTGCACCGCCAACCTCTCTGCCCCCACGTGGCTCCAACTCCTGCCTGGCAATCAGCCTCCCGCCAAGAGACGCTCTGGACCCCAGGGACTCGGCAGGTGAGAGAAAGTCCCCAGGAGCTTTAGGGTTAGGAGGGCTAGAGAGGGTGGGCGATCGAACCTATTCACGCCCGGGTTAACTAGCTTTGCCCCGTGAGTACACAGGAGGGTGCGGAGGGCCAGGTGGCCTTGTTCTTTGTGGGGAGGAGGCAGAATCGTGACCTGTCCAGAGCCAGTTCCTGCTATGGCCATTATGTAGGTCCGGTGGACACACCTCTTTTCAGGCGGTCCCGTCTGCAGCTCAATGGGATGGCTTCCTGAGAATTCCATAAGGATCCACTTGCGCTGCCAAGGCACTGTCACACACCCGTGGTCCCCAGGTCTCAGTTACCTGCCGAAACAGGAAGGCATGGGAGAGACAGGTACCGCGAGCCGTACAGAGTGCGGCACACTGTTCTGTTTGGCTGAGTCCTTGCTGAGACCCCTTCCGTGCCTGGTTGGTAAATTGGACTTCATCAGACAGGTGCATGGACAGGAGCAACAGCTCCACAGGACTCAGTTCCCCTGTGAGGTCAGGCCCCCGCTGGGGCTGTGGACTGTGTCTCCGACAGATCGGGGACACCGCTGCAGCCCAGGCTGGGTGGCAGGACAGGGTTTCACTCCGGAAGCTGCAGGTCCGAGATGAGCTGGGCAGGTCTGTGCCCTGCAGCCTCCCTCCCTGGCCTGCAGCTGGCACCGTCCTC